TGGCTGTCAGAAGTAGACGACATTAAACGATTGCAGGATTTCGACTACAGTTGTCTTGGCAGCATTACTCGCGTTTGGTGGAATCACAATATCAGCAATGTTGAGGTCAGGTGAAGTGTACCAGGCAATACAGTCAAGTGGATTGACGAGGTTGTAAACCTTATTCAACTCAGATGGCTTGGACACGTACTGTACATGCCGAGCCGTGCTATGGGATGTTAGACTAGGTTGGAGAAGGTTTGAGGGTGGCGGCCAGACTAAGACCTGGAATCCTTTGGTGAAGTCCCCAACTGTTGGCCTGAACCATGTGAAGAGATGTAGACTATCTGATTGGGTTCCTCGAGTCTATAAGAATGACTGGTTGAGGAGTTTTGAGGATATGGTTGAAAATTGGTCACACTGGCGCAGATGTATTCACTCCGTCAAACTAACCTTTATCTTCAGATTGTTTATTCTCTCACACAAGTTTATTTACTTTGATATCACTAGTCTCCTATCCACCAGTTGTTTGTGTACTGCTGTGAAGTGTGGCAACTTGAACCGATGCACTTGTGTATGAAATATTACGTTGATTTTGTCAGTCTAACTAACCAGCATCGAGTGATAATGCCTTTTCCACCTCTCGCTTTCACTGCTCATGATCACTTAGATGACTCAGTCGGTTTACGTTGTTTTCGCTCTTCATTGTGGTCGGAGCCAGTTGGAATGAATCTCACGAAATGTGCTACTGAACCACTCAAGCTGATTTATAGATTTCACCAGCCAGATCAGAGTGATGCAAACACTAGACGGTTGTTTCGCTGGTCTACGCAAGAGCTCATCAATGGTCTATACCCTTGGAAATTTAACTCATTGAGTCGAATTAGATCACTTGAATCTGGCTAAATTACGTGAATTGATCGGTATACGTAGAATAGAATGATCAATTTGCACGGTCTATATCGACATTTCTCACTGCTAATTAGTATACAGTCAATAGGGTTTCCGTCGGAAATCATTGTACAGACAAGATTATAAAATGTGATGTATGGTACAAAAGAAGAAGAAGAAGAAGGGAAGGAAGAAGAAGACTTCTTATGTTTCTGCCAACTTTTGACCAGCCAACAAATAAAAATAACGCTTACTTTCAGTTATTTTGATATGTACGCCTAAAAGAAATATGATTTATCGACTATTGTAAACTAGTGAATCGATGTTGACTCATATTACCAGTAAAATACAACGGAATCTATATTCATTTATGAATTCAATGTTCAATCTGAATTTAATTGTTTGAATCAGTTTGATTGAAATATCTATACTGTTCTGTAAGAAATATACATACATTAATCATATTGCTCATTAGAAAGTATTTATTAGTGTCCTAAAAAAGAGTACAAATCAATTTCATATGTTTGTATATGTATGTGATTATATTCCATTTCATTTGTGATCTAACTTCTGTTTAATGTGTATTTTCTTTCTTACCTATTCTTTTGTTTTATTCATTTTTCATGTTCTTTGTGAAGTAGTAAACTTATGTTTGCATTGATTGATTAGTGAACTGATTATATGATTGATTTATTGTTTGATTATTATTCTTTTATACCCTTATGACTGATATCTTTGCGTAATACATGTGAAAGTTACAGGGGGTATACATATCACACACACACACACACACACACACACACACACACACACGTGCACACAAACCCAAGAAAGGTTAGTCTTATTCAGTTATTCAGTTATAATAAGCAGTAGATAGACAATTGACTAGAACTCCAAATGATGAAATCTGATTACCTAAGGATTGATTAACTTTTGGCAACACATACAAATTCTGGCATCAAGGCCGTGTTCCAGTGCTTAATGAGGAATATGGATACTATGCACGAGTTGATTGAATGCATAAGTTAAGCGTAGAGAGTACTTACTGTGTGATGGATTTCATCAGGTTGTCAACTTTCATTAATTGACATGATTGTACCAAGTGTTATGTATGCCGTTACACTCTATTGGTTACCGCAGAAAAACCAATTTCATGTTGAATTTCGGGGATTTGTGAGGATTTAGAGATTTTTTCAAGTTGGTATTCATCCTAGACTAATATCAGTTGGAGGAACATTGGAAACCTAGAAGCACTGTATGGCTGTTTTGTCCCACTAGTATGGGAATCCTCAACAGTGTGCACCCACGATCCCACCAGGGGTCGAACCCGGGACCTTCGGGTTCCGCGGCCAGCACGGTACCATTGAGCTATCCACTAGGTCGGAATCCAATGGTCCATATTTCCTACTTCTATCAGTCCACGACATGGCGTGACCTCCACCTAATGTCATCGTTGAGCATTTGTCCTCACGGCCAGCAGGTTTGCCCCACTGGTCACGACTTCTCAATGGAAATAGTGCTCATCGGTGACTAGCTTCGAGAGGTGATTCTTGAAGTCCCAGTGGGGCAGACCTGCTGGCCGTGAGGACGAATGCCCAACGATGACATTAGGTGGCAGTCGCGCTATGCCTTAAACTGATAGAAGTAGGAAATATGGACCATTGGATTCTGACCCAGTGGATAGCTCAATGGTAGCGTGTTGGCCACGGAACCTGAAGGTCCCGGGTTCAACCCCTAGCGGGGTCGTGAGTACCCCAATTGCCGAGGATTCCTATACTAGTGGGACGAAGCAGCTGTCCGGTGCTCCTAAGTTCCCAATATTCCTCCAACTAATGTCAGTCCACAATGAATACTAATTTCATGTTGCCTAGTCCTGAGTGCTGGCCGAAGTTTATTGATCATATTTACAATATGGTCACCAAGTTAGAAGGCTTTGGTGACGAATACCAACAAGTATGAAATCTACGTACAGGATTTCCTCCCGATTGCCTTCAACAAAACTAACATACCGATACACTATTTTTCAGGCTAAGCAAAGGAATAGCATCATTACATATTCGCTTTGTGTTACTCTAATGGTCATGAGGCGTGACAGCCCTCGATCCAATCACCCACTGTAATAAGAAACCATCTTGAAATCAGTCGATTTCGCACCTACTTTCAAGTTTCTTCCTTTTTTTCTCTCTTATTAACTTTTCTCTTGATATACTGTTGGAAAGTGTACCAACTGAAATCGATACGTGTTTTTATTGATATTATTTACCATATTGTTGAGAAAAACTCGGAAACTGCGACCATTCAAGAGAATATAAATTGGGCACTGTGGTTGAATGCAATTCCATTTTTATTAATTTATTGGATGTATCACACAGTGAATGAACGGTATTGTTTACTGGATGGCGTTCTGGACATAATTTATTGTCTACAGCCATATCAAGATAACTCCACAACTTTGAGACATCCTTTTTATAGTCTTAATTACCTTGCCTTCCCTGTGACATGGGTAGTAAGATTTTCCATATATCCGGAACAGGTGCTGAGTCATTCCTGTTGCTACATGTATATGGTATTGATTCGATAAACAGGGATTCGGTTATCAGTCCCTCTCCCTCCATCCTGCTATGTTAGTTTAGAGGATTGTCACCCTGTCCCATCATATTTTGTGGTTGTGTGCAGTTGCATGCATAGCTATGACTGGACGTTTTTCTACATTCCTTACCTTACTGAGATCTAGCAGTTTTGATCTAAGTAGGTTTTTGTGTTCGGATAGCCTAATTGAGCGTGGTCAACTACTTTGACCTATGTATTTGACCTCGCAATCGTTGCAAGGGATTTGGTAAACTAAGTAGTTCTGCTCAATCGGATCAGTGGGATCTTTTAACAATACAAAGCTTGTTTCTAAGTGCTTTTGCTGGTTTAAATGCGGCTGTTATCCCAGCCAGCCTTATTGAGAATCCTACGCAACATCTCTGAGGTGCCTTCTGGGTATGGTAAACTGTGGAGGTTTTGAATTCTCTCTTCGCAGTATTACCACTACTTTTATTAACATTATTATTACTACTATAAATAACCGTGTTACTGATATTTTTCTTACAATTCCTAAGGAGCTTATCAATTAATTTACGAGGGTAATTGTTGATGAGTAAGGTGTTCTTGATGTATCTGATTTCTTGTCTTAGATCTCTTTTACTAGTAAGTTTCTTGGCCCTGTTACTCAGACATTTTACGAAGCCAACTTCATCTGGCATAGGGTAAGGAGATTTGGTCTTAGTAAGGTAAGCAGTTTCAAGAAAAGCTCGACCGTAGCTATACACAACCACACAATAGGATGGGGAATGGTGAAAATTCTTAAAACTAACATAGCAGGGTCGAGGGATAGACACTGATAACTGAATCTTTGTTTATCGAATCAACACCTAAAACAGCGGGGCATCTAGATATTGGAAAAATGCATTCATTTCTGTCTAGTTTCACGTTATCTCTAGTTGACAACCGTAAGATGTGGCATATGTCGAGGAAAAGGTATTGCTTTTGGTCACCTCAGTGCGTTCACCTGTCAGTTCACTTTCTCCTGTGGAGTTCAAAATTGATATCATCCACTCAGCAACTATGTACACTTCTATGCAGAGTAAACAATAAGCTACATCTATTGTGGTTGTGTGGGGGCTAATGATACTATACTACCTGGTTGCCCAAATGTCGGTAGGTCTAAGGTGTGTTCGAACTCGTGCGTAATCTATTGGTTGAAAATCAACTTGCTAACCCAATTGCTTCACGAATCCCCTATCTACAATGGAAATTTCCTTCAAAAAAACTAGTCACCTGCCCTGAGGGAAAAATCCAGTTAATTTCATCATATGTATGCACATATTTCACGCTGGAATCACACAAACACACACACACACAGATGAATGATCAAGTGCATGCACTAAATCGAAATTTCCCGCTTTCTATTCACTGATTCATTATGATTTTTGTTCTACTAATTTAAATCGATGATAATTTCTGTTTTCTATGTTATTTTCTTCTGCATCCAGTTTATCAATATTTATTCTCTTTATATTGGTTTTTTTAATAACATCTCCTTATTTTTCTTTCTCTCTTCCCCACCCTGTCCCTGTATCTAACAGAAATTTCAAGGTGTTGCTACATGTCAGTTGGATGATACACTGGAAATGATTGTGAATAAGATTGTTGATGCAGGAGTAAGTTTTTTTTAATATTTTCATTCTGATGGCTACTTTTACACTGATTATTGTTGTTCGATCGCTGGTGAACCAACCAAAAGAATCTAGACACATCTTTCGTCCTGTATTGAATTCGTCAACTGGATGCATCCACATTCCAGGGATTGATAGTGTTCCGCCTGAGACTCAAACTAAGGGTATATATATCATTTTGAACCCGTGTTATCATTTACGCGAGGAAGACATTGTTCGTTACAACGAAAAATCATCAGCACTAATTTCTAGCAAGGGATTCTCGGTGCATTGCACCATACCTGGCTCTCATGGCCTAGTAGTCTAATGGATAACGTTTTGGTGTTTGAAACGATGTTCTCTGAGTTCGATTCTCAGTTGAGACAACATCGTTCACTTGGGATACATATACATACAGTTGACATATGAGACAGTCGTTGATAGTTGAAGATATAAAGAGACTACAAGTTGTGAAGTTTAATCAACTGAAGTGGCTTGTACATGTACTGCATTGAAAGAAGGGTGACGGTGGACAAACCAAGGCGTAGCTTTACTTCATGAAGTCCCTAACTGTTGATCTGAGCTGTGTGGGGAGATGCAGACTATCTGACTGAGGTCTCTAAGACGGTAAGAATCAGTGGTTAAGTATTTTTGGTGACATGGCTGAAAATTGGCAACAATGGCACTCTTTGACATCTTCTGAAGCTTGAATTGTTGCAAAAACTCGAAGATCTACAGACGAAAACTAACAAGTTGGCAGAAGAGGCGAGGCAGTGAAGGAAGATGGGACTTCGTTCAGGTGAATGTAGAGAAGACAAAGGTGATGAAGATACTCAACCACCACCAACAACAACGAGGACCAATCACCACCAACGGGATAAATCTAAAGGAAGTTGTTTCTTTCAACTACCTACCTACCTAGGCAGCATCGTTTCAATAACAGGAGGCGACACAGATAAAGATGTGAAAGCCAGGATCGGAAAGACAGCAAGACAGGTCTTTATAAATCTGCAATCAGTGTGGAGATCTACCCTAATCAGCATAAAGCGTGAAAAACATCTGCATTCCCAACACCAATTCACTCAAGTCAGTCAGTGCTTGTATGTGATGGTTGAGAGACTTGGCGACGCGTCATGGAAAGCATTTCCAACAAACTACAGACATACATGAACAGCTGCCGCCTTCCCTCGATACTGACACTGAAGATCGATCAGATGGCCAGAAGGTATAAGCAACGATGAACTTAATCTGGCTGGTGAGGAACTAACCAAGAAGCTATCGCCCAAGAAATGTGCAGAAGAAAGTGGAGATGGATTGGATTGGACTAGGCACTCACTGAGAGGACGTTCTGGGGACATCACGCTCCAGGTCAGCCTAGGCCATGCCATCGAGTGGAACCCAAATGGTAAACGAGTTGGGCGTCCGAGACGAGGGTGACATGGAGGAGATTGGGATGAGGAAGAAATGAAAGCTTCTTGGCAGTCGTGGAGCCAGGTTGAGAAGACTGCAGAGACGAGAATGGAATGGCGACGTGCTACTGAAGCGGTATGTTCGACCAGGAACCCAAGGGACAAATAATAATAATAAGGTTTGAATGTTTGTACTAACCTTTATTCTCAGATTGTTTATTCTCTCACACAACTTTGTCTACTTTGGTATCAGTCTAATTATATTCACCTATCCTTTGTATACCACTATGAAGTCAAGCAACTTGAATTGATCCACCTATATGTCAGGTTCTACCTTGATTTTGTCTGTCTGTCAAGAACCTGTGTAAGGTATATCGAAAAATTTGTTTTCTGGGTCATTGTATTCATTCATCATTCAGGTGTACCAGTACCTTGAAAATTGACGAAAACTACTGGGCTATGCTGGTTGCTGATGACTCCTGTTTCATTGATTAGATAATATACACTTTTCAGCATTTAAAAAAAGTAACTGATATTACGTCACCTCGTTCTCATTGTTCACTAAACAAAGTAGCTAGGCATAACATCATGAATACATTGTATTTGATGCTGGACAGCACTAAGTAATGAACAGAATAGCCTAACTTAGGTTGCATGTTTGTTTGGGTTATTCATCCGGTAAAGACGTACCATTGCATGGAAATTAGGAAATGTATGTTGTCTGCGCGATCTTGATTTGTTCGGCGCTGTTGTGAAATTTGTTATATGGATCATAGAAAAGTTTTTTTTTTTTGAAACCAAACTAATTTCACCAATCACATAGGTTTGTTTGTATAAGCTTAAAAGCGCATAACTTCTGGAGATTGGTTCCCTGGGTTCACACCCCCCATTCCACTTGATTTGACCTTGAAAATAGAAAACAACAAATCCACTCAACAACTATTTGCACTCGTTTGTGAAGTAAGCAGAGAGTCACAGCTATTATGTGATGACTAATGGTATTATGTTGTTGCCTGTTATATGCCATCGTTGATTGGACTGAATTTATAGGTCTCTATTGGCATATAGGCACCTACTTGTATGCCTCGATACTGCCTGTGTTTTAATTCTATGTAGTAATGGTTGATGGTGGCTAGCAGTAGAATCTAGGATGAAACGCGTATCCTGGATCCCACTGTCAGCCGCTATCGATCAGTAGTATAGTACTAATGATGCTACATGATTGCCCAAACTTCAAAAGATGAGGCTGAATTTGAACCTGTGGCCCATCGATTGGAAATCAACTGTTTAGACCTAGGTAACCAGGTAGTATCATAGACCCCCACATTACAAGGTTGATTCTTAGCCTACTATATAAACACCATCACCTAGCCAAGTTGAATTGCATTACATTTTCAAAAGAAGCTTGAATCCAATGGGATGGTGATTGTAAGTGTAGATCCTAGTAGGATTTAAATCAGCACACAATACAGACTCAACATCATACACTACATCATTATGTTAGGTTACAGATATGCCTTACTGATGAGCTCCAAGAAGCAACAAATCTAGGTCGATCAAGGCTTCCTTCCTGATTGCCTACAACCAGTTAACATGCATCCAACTACCTCGCAATGGTGTCTCGTAGTTTGGTGGCCATATTTTTCTAAAAAGATCAGCGTAGAACTTCGTAGACGAGTGCATCATCTCAAGTTGCCACACTTCACAGTAGTAATACAAAGAAGAGATGGATAGGAAAAGACTAATATCAAAGTAGACGAAGTTGTGTGAGAGAATAAAAAATATGAAGATGAAGGGTAGTGCAAGTATTCAGGCTTTGGAAGATGTCTAGGAGCGAGTGCATCTGCACACCTTTGTGACCGATTACTGACCATATCAGTAAGATTCCTCAACCACTGACTCCTGTCATCTGGGAGACCCCAGCCAGGTAGTCTATACACCTCCCTGCACGACTCAGACCAACAGTCAGAGACTTCATAAACTGGTATCAGGTTTTGGTTTGGCCACCCTCAACCTTCTAACCTAATTCAACTTCTACTTGAATGACACGTCGTGGTAGGCGGTAGCGTGGCATGAGCAATGGGTGTCCACGCCATCTTATTCGATGAAGTTTCACAATCCCACCGATCAAATTGCCTGTCTTGGTGGCCACATTGCAAAATTATCGATAGAATTCAGTCAACACTGAGAACTAAACAACATGAAACTGGTTGCTTTCTCGTGACCAGTCATTGTATTTAAGTACATTGAATATTCCCAGTTAGATATTTAGAAAGAAACTGACTGAGTGAAGAAATCATATTCCTTTTCAATTAGGTCTTCGTCTTAGGCTCTACACTAATATATCGTTTTACTACTCAATCAAAACCTTAATCAAGTGGTTGGGGAGTTGGTGAACAATAGTCATAGAGATTTTAAGTTAGTCATGATGATACGTTTTAGAACTAAAGATGTAAATAATCAATAGAGTAATTAAAATTGGAAATATGAAGCAGATTATTCTTAGGTAAATGGAGTGATTTTTGATGAGTGTTCAGTCACTCACAATGGGCGATTACGTAATAATAAGAAGACGAATGAATACTGACAGAAACAGAGTAATTCTAGAAGTTACATCATGTTGATCGCCACGGTAATGAAAGTGGTCGAACAAACTTTTTTTCAATACAAAGGTCAGGTTTGTTTGTAAAGGTGGATTGCAATCGCCTCTGCTGCGTGAAGTAAACAAGTGTGTAAGCCAGCTCACTTCATACTGAAGTTAGTGCTGATGATGTCGTCTAGCAAGGCGATGAAAGCTTCACGATTAAACAACCCAGCTCAGAGAACACAACACAACCAAGACTATGTGGTAAATTAATTGGAATATGATGAATGATTTTAAAAGCTTTTCTAGTATCCACTTGATGTCTCATGTCAACTAGGTGTGCAAGTATAGAGCTCTTTATTGTTCTAATTTGTCCCTTGTTCAAACATGATGGTTAGTGCTCAGAACTTCGACGATGGACTTGCCTTATTGTACACCCAGTGTAACTAGCTCCATAGGAGCAGTTGAATTGATAAATATACATGGAAGTGGCAGAACCAGACAGTTTGTCTTTATTTCTCGCACCTAGAATCGCTCGGTTGTAGAAGATGGGTCATAATTTAGTGCCTGGGAAGGCTTTATGCAAGACTCTTTTTATGCTTTGTATGATGATTTCACTGGCAATGTCACTCTTGAATTTCAGCTTCAAGAGGATTTGCTTCTTAGGAACTGATGATGTTTTTGTCTTAACCCTCGTAATATTCATACGCTTAGTTACAAACTTGTCTGGATAGCCATTCCTACTAAGCAGATCATGGATGGTGGCCAACTCTTCCTTTATAGCATACCCTGAGCAAATAGCTGTGGCGTGATATGCTAGGCATTTCACCAGGTTCCTTTTGTATTGGAGGGGTACAGCACTCAAGAAGTGCATGTTATTGACTTATCGATATTGGTTTTCTATATACACTTAGTTCCAGAGTTCCATGTACCAACAGAAAACCAAGGAATGGGATATTGTCATTTTTCTCCTCTTCCATTGTGAAGTTGTATTTAATCCAGCTATACAGGAAATCAGTCGCAGCCCGAATAGCTCAGTGCTAACGTCTCTGACTGCAACACTGGTTGACGATGGTTCGAGTTTCAGACGGGACATCAGTTCCCTCCAAGTTGAAGACACCTTACTGACGAGTGCTGATAAGCACAAAACTGCTGATTGGCTTCAACCAACCAGCATAGTGTCATCCCACTTAAATTGGTAATTAAAACGGTATTTGTGTTTATAGGCAAGTGGAGATGATCAATAGTGGACGTGATATCTCTGCTGCAATTCACATCAATACATAAATGTTGGACAGTGGGGAAGGGGGGGGGAGAAGGAAAGACAGTTACGAAGACAAATTACAGTGAAATGAAAATGAAATCATCATTCATACAAGAAGGAAGGAATGAAAATATGTGCTGTTGTGGTTTCGATGAGGATAAGACACAAAGAAAAATAAATCAACTTAGAACCTGGGACTCAAATGCTTCACAGCCGATCAACGTGACTGGTCTACAACTAAAAATATTTTGGTTTCGATGAGACTTGCCACCACGGACTGCAGATATCTGGTTAGGTTTTAGCTATGATCTATCCGCTGAAGCAGCTAGCCAGAATGTTTGAGCTAGGTCAATCCAGGTACACCAATGATGAGCTCAACCCCAAATGGATAGAAATACCCATCAGGTGTTAACATCACTTTGATCTGTCTAGCGAGCACTGCTGACTGGTATGAGTAGTGTAGAAATATTCATGGATGGTCAGTAGTCTATTTCTTGACGGTTGACAAAAACACATATAAAGCAAGAAAAAAATAAAAATAGGCCTATGAAAATATTCAAAACTTTTTGAAGATGGCGAACAGTTTTTACAAGTGAGATTTTGAGTCTTACCAGTGATCGTCTTCAAATACTATCTCTTCTTATCGTGAAGTTTAGACCTTGACACATGGTGAAAGAGTACTGTTTACCGGATAATGTTTTGGACATGATTTATCGCCAAAATTACATCAGCTTAACTCCATCAAGCATCGAGATATAGTTTTCATAGGTTCAATCGTGACCTTTCATTCTTTTTAAGTGGGGGGGGGGGCATCACTTGCGTATTCATCTCTGTTACATATGTGTCTGTTATGTATGACTAATGTCTCCCTCCATTCACCTCACCTCCTTGTTTGATTTCATGATTGGTTATGACTGTGATTTTCGCTAGTTTATATATCCTAAGTAATCTGGTTTAGGTGAGTTTTCTTTCTCACGTAATATAACGCTGAGTTACAGCCAGTTGGCATCAACGTGGGATCTAGCATCAGCATATCCATGGTACAACGCAGTCAGCTGAAAGACAGCAAAATGGTGGAGGAAAAATTAATCAAACATTGTAGGAAGTTATGAAATAAGAACCAGAGGGGGATGAAACAATAAGGATATTTGATTTGACGATTAAGATAATATGCGGATATATCTGCGTGGTTGAGATCGATTCCTAGCCTTATCATCTACATTCACTGATCACCGATTTCTGTTGTCATATAGATCTCAACTGGGAAATCTAGATTTCCCTACACGATTCAAGCCAACAGTTAGGGACTTCTCCGCCTGATGCCATGTTTTAGTCTGGCCGGTCCAAGCCTTTATCCAGCTTAAACCTATTCTAGCTAACATTGTGCCAGGAGGCAGACGGTGACTAGACATACGACACATGTCCCAGCCAGCCATCTCAGTCGATGGATGTTCAAAACCTCATCAATTGACTCTTCCTTTATACCTGAAACTCTATGCCTGACTTCTACTTTACTGGTACCTCGACACAGTCGATGCTAAGAAGCCGATGGTTGTCCAACACCTAAAGCCTTCTCATTTTCTCTACTTTGAATCATCATGTATCAGAGACATATAGTAGGACATAGCGAAATGCAGTCAATCATGTTGGCATGATGAATGGTGTAAGTTGCCAAAGTCCATTCAGACCTTTTTTATCCGTGCAGAGATTTCATCAATTACTAACTCTCCATGACTCTGTCTACTATGTAAGAAGGGGAAGAAACACAGACCAATGTTAATGCAGCAGTTCGTATCCCAAATATTCTCAAATTGCTACTCACGGTGCCCAGTAGACTCTGCATCCTGTCAATATCTCCATTTAACAGGACTATATCATCTGTTTACTCTAGGCATGGTAAGGAGTCTCCTTATACAAAGTCAATCCGAGTAGAGTTAGATAAGAAGAGAGAGGCCTCTACGACAAGATTAAATAAGAACGGTGAGAATAAACATCCTTGACGATCTTCAAACACGCTTAACCTCATAGTTATTGCATGGAATACAGTAGATCAGATTATTCTCTTAAATAGCTTCAGTAGGAAGGATCCTTTTATTGAATACTTTACTGTTTTTCTCTCTCTCTTTCTGTGTCCTTTAGGTACATCGTCTTGTCACAGTTGAGGAGAACAAAGTACTGGGGATTGTTTCTCTATCAGATATCTTAAGGTTTTTAATCGGTGAACCGACAGTGATGAGAATTGCGTCGAATTTATCAACACAAAGCGACTGTCTCCACAGAGAACTTGTTTGAATATCACATGAATTCGAATACATTGATATCATTTCTCAGGTCATCTTTTTTGCATCTCCCCCCACCCCATTTCACCATCACCGACCTACTCTTTTCATTCTTACAATACCCATTGTCATTGGCTTTCTCTCCTTCTCTTTGGAGGGTTGTTCATGTTCTCTATCATTTTCGTATCCAACAGTTTATTATGCATTTTATTTTCTGGTTGTTATTCATCGTAGACTGACATCAGTTGGAGGAACAAAGGAAACCTGGGAGCACCGGACAGCTGTTTCGTCCTAGTATGGGACTCCTCAACAGTGCGCACCAACGACCCCGCCAGGGATCGAGCCCGCGGCCAGCGCGTTACCATTGAGCCACTGGAACCGGAACCTCAAGGTCGCGGGTTTGATCCCTGGCGGGGTCGTTGATGCGCACTGCTGAGGAGTCCCATACTAGGACGAAACGGTTGTCCAGTGCTCCCAGGTTTCCTTTGTTCCTCCAACTGATGTCAGTCTACGATGGATAACAACTTGAAATATTTCCAAATCTCCACAACTCCCTCAAAAAATTCAATTTTATTCTCTGTTTATTAGTTTTGTTTCCCTGTATACACAGTCTATCTGTATATTCGATAGTTTACTTGTCTTATTCTTCGACTTCTTTGTGTATCTTTTTCTAACAAACCCTCTTTTCTTTATGTATGTATGTATGTCAGAGTAAAGGAGAATCCTTGTTGTCTGTGGTTTTTTACTCACATGCGATTTCAAATCGTTGTAAATTATCCGCAATTTTTATTTATTCACTCACTCATGAGTAATTTGTCGATAGTAATCAATAAAAGTTTATTGGGTAGTTGTTTTCTTTATTGTTGAATGATACTGAAGGCTAGTAGTTGGTTGATGGTGTAAATAGGGTTCAATGTGTCATTGTTTGTTCTGGCATTCGTCAGGAACGCCTACTGTCACTGTACCTATTTAATTGTGTTATATATGTGTAATAATGGACATAACCTTAGGTACGTCTGATTTCGCAGGGATTTACCTACTTTCTGGAGGTGATCTCATTGACTTAAAATATGCATACGATATTGTCCTTCTTGATGAAGATATTGATAAAATGTAGAGTCTTCTGGGTGCGTTGAGCAGAAATCTATCTGTGTATGTTTGGCATGCGTTCTGCACGTGTCAAATGTAAGACGATGCTTCAGGACTGGTATGCAGCTACTCTCAGTTTAATGATAGGGAGTGATTTGATTGAATGCGTTTACAACTTCGAGAGCTGCACTAACTCGAATAGGTCGGTTGCTGGGGTAATCTTAGGTGGGATACGAAAAGCCTGTTCATCAATTCGTCAATTTGAATCAACTATGGGACCGACTGGTGATATATTCGAATATCTATTAAAGGACGAGTATGCTGCGTTGCATTCTGTCCTGTTATACGGCTATGAGACATGGCCATCAAAAGTGCAAGACATGTAACGATTATATGGTATTGATCATAGTTGCCTTCATAGCACTGCTCGCGTTTAGTGGAATTACTGTGTGAGCAACTTAGGACAAGATGCAGAGTCTTCTGAACACTTTGAATGGAAAGTCGAGAATGTTTGGGATGCGTTTGTCACCACTCAAATGCAAGTTGTTGCTCCACGATTGGTCTTCAACGGTGCCATGGCTAATAATAGGGAGTCTAGTGATTGACCACTTCACTTAACTGGGAAGTAGGATCAGCCCTGGTGTGTCGATCAGTGGCCAGTGAAATCTCTGCACACATACAAAAGGCTTGGCTGGCTTTCGCCAGCTTACGCCACATATGACGCCCCCATGATCTCCGATTGTATAGTAAGGATTGCGTGTACTGCACAGCAATCCGGTCTGTTATACTGTATGGCTGTGAAACATGGCCGTTGAAGGTGGAAGACGTAGGAAGGCTCCAGGTGTTTGACCACCGTTGCCTTCGTAATATACACCGTATTCAGTGGTGTCACTATGTGAGTAACGCAGAAGTCAGGTGTAGAGTTTTAGAAGAAGTAAATCAGTTGACTCGTTTGTGAACCTTCATCGACTGAGATGATTGGGGCATGTGTTACGTATGCCTAGTCACTGTCTGTCTCGTCACACAATGTTGGCGGAAGTAGGTTAAGGCTGGAGAAAGGGTTGGGGTGGCCAGACTAAAACATGGTATGAATGTATGAAGTGTTTAACTGTTGGTTTAGGCCATATGTGGCGATGGAGACTAGCCGGTTGGATTCGGCTGGACAAGAGAAAGCAATGGTTACAGACCCTAAGTGACATAGCTCAGATGTATGCACACATTATCCTCATCTTCACGGCGCTATACCGAATCTCACCATTTTCTCATTCTTCCTTTCTCTTTTTGAGTACTTTATATTTCTTTTGACTGAATTTTCTCATCTTCATCTTGCACCTCACTGCCTTGTTTACTTGATGTACTGATGTGAGGTGTGTCTGGTAACTTGGACCGTTACACAGTAATGCCTGGTCCTATGTTGTTTTGAATGGATAGATGGATGAGTCGGTGTGAGCAATATTGAGGTCAGGGGAAGGTTGTTAAGCAAGTCGATTAGTGAGGTTGTGAACCTTCATCGGCTGATGTGGCTTGGTAGTGTGATGCGCATCCCTACGTCGACATAAAATCCATGGGGAGTTGGAAGAAGGCTCATGGCACGCCAGTGTATGATTTCCCTAACTGTGTGTATGATTCGCGTAGGGAGGTGTTGACTAATTGTCTAGGATCCCTAAGACTGACTATAGAAATCAGTGATTGGGGAGTCTTGGTGACATGGTTGAAAGTCGGTCACAATGGCGAAAATATATTGACTCTTTGAAATGTAAGCTTGTTTTCACTAATCTTCATTTTCAAATCCCCTCTTCTCCTATTCACCTTTGTCTACTTTGATATCACTGTTTTTCTATCCATCTGTTCTTTGTGTACTACTGTGGTGATGCACCTGGGTGCGAAGTTCATTGTTGATTTTGTCTGTCTGCTTGGTCTCTTAATTTAACCATTCTTCAATTATGAAAAGTAATTGTATACATGTATCTTGGTAGGGTGACTTTGAAGGCCACCGTAGCAGCCAGTCATGTTTCGATATTTCGTATAGGAGAGTAGTTTTACATCAAATAAAGAAATGGAATTGGTTATCTGAACACTTGTTAGGGTAGCCTTTAAAGTCACTTGTACAGCTCTGAAGTCGGTAACTTTACTTGCTTAATTTTTGGAGCAGTATGCAAGCGTTCCGTGGCGTTTTTTGGCTTTAGGTTCTTATATATTAGTTTAAGTCGGTATGCATTTTTCAGCAGGATTTCTCGCAGTTAATTTAATTAACCTTCGATTTATAATCTTCTTTGTAAATTCGTCGTATTCTTGAGGAGAGTGAATTCATAAGATTCCTGTTTCTGCTTAAGGGATACAACTTTGAAGATGAATAAACTCTTCTCTCTGTAAATAGGTCTGTGAACTGAATTGTTATCTTTTCTTAGAAGTTGGACATCAAGGAAGTGGAATTTCCTGTTTGACTCTGTTTTTGGAGTGAATTTGATCAAAGGAATGAGCACTAGTGAATGTTTGAAGCAGCTTTTCGAGATTTATATTCTCATCACAAACAATAAAGATATCTAGTTTGCGGGTTTGTGGAGATTTATTAATTGATTTCAGGTTGGAATTCATCATGGACTGACATCAGTTGAAGGGATATTGGAAAACTGGGAGCATTGCACAGCTGTTTCGTCCTACTATGGGACTCTTCAGTAGTGAGAACCCATGACCTCGCCAAAGATAGAACCCAGAATCTTCAGGTTTCGTGGCCACTGCGTTACCATTGAGCTGCAGAGTGAATTAATCTAGTGCTCATTGATGACTAGCTTCGAGAGGTGTATCCTGAAGTTTCAATAAGAAGTCATGACCAGTGGAGGGAAACAAGTTGAATATAAGAACAGTTACTCAAAGATGACAATGGATGGAGGTCACACTGTATGGACTATTTGATTCTGGACTCATTGGTCCAATGGTAAAGTGCTGGCCGCGCAACGTGAAGGTCCTGGATTCGATCCGTGACGTGGTTGTGGGTGAGGACAGCTGAGAAATTTTATACTGGAACGAAACAGCTGTCCAGTGCTCCTACGTTTCCAATGTCCCTCCAACTAATCTCAGTCCATGATGGAGGCCAGCTTGAAAAATGAAGATATTGTCTATGCAATTTTTGTAGAGATGAAGCTCGTTCGTGTTTTACAGGCTTGTCATATATTCACGAATTTACAGCTGACAGAATAATTTCGTCGAAAAGAAAAATTTGTCTTCTCTTCAATCGTCTTACGTATTTTTTTTTGATCAGATAGGCTTTTTTCAATACTGGGACTCAATTTGTGTATTTTATTTTCTGTATAAATGCATTGATTAATTATTGATAACACTTTGGGATTACATTTCGACTGGCAGGATGCCTGGGATACAGGTTTCCCACTTGTCGACACTTGTCAGCTGTACGAACCTGCAACCAGTGATGAAACATATGTCCTCTTGGCGCTGAAGTTAGAGGACATAATTAGCCGCCTTTAGGGTTGGATTCACTGACCACACGAATTCCTTATCAATGAGTAATCGATGCAGCTGTTTAATGCTTGGTGGTCAGTGCTAACTGAAGTCTCTTTATAAAAAAAAATCATATCCAGCTCTAAATTTTATCTCGATTATATAACCATTGTCTAATTATCGATCAATCTGTGGAGAGATTGAGGTGATTTTGCTTTTTACCACCCACTGTCAACTGACTCCAGAATATGTAACATTAACAGCAACCTTAAATCATTTACATTTGCATCCAATAATCATGTATGCACACTTGGTGTGTGTGAGAGAGAGAGAGGACCACGTGATAAACGAAATTACTGATTGATGACTCCAGATAACATGGTTCAGAATCTGGCTCAGCCACACAGCTGCATCCTCACATTAACTTCATCTTAACCGTTATGTTGTATTTTCTTGTTGTTCTACTCC